TATGGTCTTCATGATAACTGTGTTACTGATAACATGTAACCCAGTGCAACTTACTCCATGTCCTGCTGCCGTATGGGATTCGCTTTCTAAGAAAAGGCATGGAGGAGTTTGCTTCCTGTCAACTGTACTTTTTAAAATCGGTCATACCTATAGTAATATATAAATATATATTTATTATTTTCTGGGTGTGTGTCTTTTATTTAGTTGGCGGCGCCTTAGTTACTGTTTTAGCTCACCTGTATTTATGTATTGGAATGCAAAAAAAAACTGCGTTTTGCGTTTGCGTTCCAAAATAAAAGCTCATACACAAACTCAAACACATTAGACGCAAATTATTAAGTTTACTTACGTTAACGGAATCGCAATTTACTCAAATAACCGTGCATTTAATACGCAACTTACGCATATAAAATGCGTTTAAAAACGTAACTCAAACGCAACTTACGCGTATATATGCGTTTGCGAACTTTACTCAAACGCGACTTATCTAATCTATTTTTAAAAATGTATCTTTTCAAGAAAACGCAAGTTATTAAGTATTAAATTATTTTTTTATTCAAAGATACAGTATAATTTTTTATTTAAACCATTGTGTATTCTTAAAATTAATGTTATGATTGAAATTATTGCATTATATATTTGTTTTATTTTTGTGCTTTTCAAGTTCAAAAAATATATTATCTTTATATTATAAGTTTACATGCCACTATTTGAGTCACCATAGTCTGAAAAGTCATTTAGACTTTCAAGAAGTTTTAAGTTTACTCAGGGGTTAAAGAAAGGGGAACGCAGGGGAACGCCGTTCCTTCTTAACTAACAAATCAAGAAATCGTTCCGCTTCGCTCAATATTTCGATGCAACCGTTCCACCTCGTTTTTAAGTTTTTGATTTTTTTTTTTTTTTACATGAAGATTTTACAATAAGATTGTGTAAATAACGCAACGCGACGCTTAGTTTATCTTGTTAAAGTAGTAGATCATTTTCACTTTGCGCGCTGATTTTTATTGAAGGTAAATTTTTAATTTCTTCTAAAATTTATAACTCTACAAGGAAAAACTTTTTTTTTCTTACAATTAAATTTAAGTTGGCGTAAATTAGGAATGATCTAAAAGAACTTGTAATGAAATAAAACAATTCGTTAAGATTTTATTTAAGAAAAGTTGCATTTTTTTTTTCTGTTTGATTTAGCTAATTTTCGTAAGAGCTAGCTAAATAGACTTGGAGAAAACTCCAAATTTTTGTATGTTTATACTTATGTCAAATAAAAATGCTTTTCAACAAACTGTGACGAATAAAGCTAGGGAACAAAAAAAGCCCTAAAATTTGAGACGCCTCTGCCCTAAACGTGAGAGCAACAAGTTGATAAAATATTTTTTTTACTTTTCTTAACTAAATTAATGTTCATCAATAAATTGTAAATTTACTAAAACAATTTCATAAGGATAACTACTTCTTGTTTATGTTATGAAGTTTCTCTTTCAACACCAGAAACTAGCTCATTTTAAAGTTTTTTCCCTAATATAGCCATTTTATTTAGACATTTGACATTAGAAAACAATTGTGGACAGAAGTAGTATTGGTCATCATGCGAGACCTCGAAATACAGCAAAAATGCACTTAATAAAAATACACCTTTAGCAAAAATTTGAAGATACTAATACTAAATACACCTACAGCAAAAATTTGCACCCGAATTGGTTATTCCGCATCCCTTTCAACAAGCAATTTAAATTTTTTAACACCGTTTCACTTGATTTCCTATTCTGCTATAACCCCTGAGGTTACTTTTAACAATGAGCAACTAATAATAAAATCAGCATTCATGTTGCTTCGTCTCTTTTCACATACAAAACCAGAAATACTAAAATATCTCTCTATAAAAGCTGCTAATGATGGAATATCTAGTAACATGACGAATAGTTTTCGTTGCCGTGCTTCTGGGCAATATTATCATCTAGCTGCTTCTAGATGTATTATCATCTAGCATAAATATCTTCTAGGCAATATTATCATTTAGCATAAATCCGTTGAGCGAACCAGTTTGCTGACCATTTAAACTCAATCGTTCTTTCGTTAGTGTAAGCTCATATTCGGTCGCGATTCTGAATCACTTCGATAAATATGTGACGTAAAGAATTTCAGAACTTTGTGTAGCTTTTCTACTGCTCCTAAACAATTTTGTGTTGTAAAATAGAAACTTTAATATAATAAATTAATATATAAAAGTAGTTAAATTTATAAATTTGGTTTTGAAGAACAATTTTTTAAACTAAATTTCAAAACTTTTTTTTGTCTTAATGAAATAAAATAACTTCACTAAATACCTTTAACTATAAGTTGACAATCAGATCTAAAGAACCACAATTTAAGCTTTGAGATATTCAACAGTGATACTACTTTGAGATATTCAACTTTGAGATATTCAACTTTGAGATTAACTTGATAAATTCCTGAGTTAAGTTTGTACTGGAACTTTAATTTAAAAGAACAAATAAACAAGTAAGCAAATTCTTTTTCATTTTCTTGTAATTCCATTCTACTCCATTTTGAAATCATAATAGTCAATGCAGGCTAAACCTCAGTAATCGATGAAAGATTCTTTTGTACAATTAGGTTGAACTGATGTGCGGGAAGAAGGATTTGTAGGTATAGTTTAATCTTATCTTATTTGATTGGATATTGATTTTTCGGATCGAATGCATTTCTTTTATAAGCAATTTGAAAACTCTGTAACATTAGAAAAGCAGCTGACCAACAAAATCCATCACAACTTGTTTGTAATTTAGCTTTATTTTTTATGTGGTATTGAACGCTATTTATAGATTGATTTGTGCTTCTTGCGTACTTTGAAAGCGTTGCAAGTAAACTACACAAATTTTTTTGTTTCTTAATAGCGATTTGTACAGCGATGTTTGTTTTATGAGCAGCGCAAAAAAAACGCGGTAGTTTTGATGTTCCCAATTCAATTTCAAGGTCTTTAATAACCTCGGTACTATGAAGATCGTATTCATTATTTTTGTTAAAGTCGTAAGTGATGTTTACTTTCTCAGCTTTTTTAGCTTACAGAATAAGATTTGTAAAAATGAGCTTCCTTGATTTATTTAATTGGACTTCAAGAAATTTATCTTAATTTCTTGAAGTCCAATTAAATAAATCAAGGAAGTTAATTTATGAAGATGAAGTCTATTAAAATTTAAGAAATTTCAAAAGACTTCATCTTCACTTATTCTTAGCTACTTATTATCTGCTTCTTCAATATAAAGGACAACCTCTTGGTTCAGCAATCGATCATTTTCATTTGCAATATCACCACCTTTCGTCTCTTCAACTTTTTCTTTCTGATTATTAAATGCATTATTCGAGCAGCCCGATGTAGTATAGAACTTAATAGCGTTTTTAGTATCGGTATCTAGCACGTTTCGCTTTTTATTTGATTCGTTTAGTGTGTCGTATAAGTCTAACCAGTTACCCAAAATGTTGTGATGTTTTCTTTGTAAATGCTTCTTAATATTGGATGTTCGACCAATACGAGCTGTGAACTTTTAATTACACAATATGCAAAAAACTCGACTATTCTTGTGATTTATTTATTCGAGTATCAAATGAAAATAAAAAATGAAGATAAAAAATAAAGATGTAGTGAAATAAAGATATGATATACTCCTAAAATATATAAAAATAAAGTTTTAAATCTAAGAAAAAGATGTTTAAATGCAAGTTCAAGTAAACTTAAAATACACATTTTTTTTGGAAAAATGTTTGTTTATCAAATTACACGATTCTTCAGATAATTTTGCCAAAAGACTTTAACCCTGAAACCTTAATGTCGGGTCTTGCTAAATAGGAGGAATAAAAATATTGGAAGCTGAAGTATTATTCGAAGACTTTGCCGATAATAATTTTAACGCTGCACTTATTGTCTGCATATTAAATTTTGTCGTTTATGTAGGGTTTATAGTTCTTGTTCACTGAAAATTATTTCTCCAGGTTTAGTTGCAGACAAATTTTGAGAGAAATAAGGTTGTAATTGCAGTTTAAATTGAGGGAATGTAGTTAGATTTTTATAACTGAAATGAGCTTACTAATTAAATTTATATAAATTATTCTAAAAATAGTTTTGGTGAAAAGAATAGTACCGTATACAGCTGAGCATTATTGTGTTCAATTTGTGAGCAAAAAATAAGTTTTTCTATTGTTTTAAGCAATTTTTAAATTGTGTTTGTGCGCTGACCAATCACATATTACTTTTGTTTTTGATTGCTGGTTTTAAGCAATCCTTTTTATATGTAAAATGTTCGTTTAAAAAGGTCGACGCTCAATTAAACTTTTTACATAAAGCACCCGCGTGCGTTCACCGCTCCTAAAATTAATTTTTAAACTGTTAAAATATAAGCTCGTTCTCAAATTAAGTGGGGGTAATAAATTTTTGACATTTGGAGGAAGTTGTAAGAAATTTATGACGTCACAGCTGATTTGATCAAGTTTTTAAACTATTTATAGCTCTAAATTATAGCAAGCTTAATTTTACGTATATATTGTTAATTTAGTGGCATTGGAGGGCATTGCAAGTTTTTGAAAAAAATTAACAAGTAAATAATGACGGATAAATAAAGAAGACAACAAAAGAAAACGAAGAAAATTTTTTGAAAGCGAAAAAATAGACAAATAAACAATTTTAATTAAATGATATGGTATTGTGGGCATTATACCCGCATTACTCTACTTTTTAAAACCTAATTTGATTAAAACCAATTATTGGTTTGAATATGTAAATATCTAAAACAATAGTAAATAAAAGGAATTATACAATATTATTCTACCTTGTTCTCACAAATGCACAAGGGACTTGATCATATGGACATCTAGCCCCAGTCTATCCTAAACTTATAAAAATAAGAAAGCAAAAGAAGAGAATGAAAACAATTCTAAAAAAAATTAAATGGAGAAATTAAACTGTAAGATGCAAAGAACGAAGGGGGAGAAAGTCAAAGTAAGTAATTTTAATACATATCCTACATAAATATGCGATCTTTCTTATTTTAAATTTTACGATACGGCAAAGGAAACGTTTGTAAACGCATTTATACGCGTAAACTGCGTTTGAGTTATGTTCGTAAATGCAATTTATATGCGTAAGTTGCGTATTAAATTTGTGCGTTAAAGCTGTTATTTGCGTA